CTGAAAAACGGTTATAAGTCACTTTTTTTCAGTGCCGTTCTAAATTTGAAGAGTCACTAAACAAACTGTTGTAATTACCTGTATTTAGATTATACAGTGATTCATTCCACTATTTAAGGGTAAATATGATTCTTCTTTTTAAGATCCTATCTTCATAATTCTGTGCTTTTTTCATTCTGGGGCTTAACTGTTATATTATTTTATTATACTGCAAAATTGTTATTTGATTATTTGATCTATGAGTCATTATGAAGTATTTGGATAAAACAAGTAAAATAACCTGGAATCCACTTGCAACTCAATCTGGCTTTAATGTTATTGAATTTTAAAGTAGCTAAATATCATAGTCTCTGATGCTATTGCACTGAAAGTAAAGTAGTGACAAATATGAGAGCAAACAAATTGCTTTCTGCAAAGGTAGACTGTGAGCTAACACAGATACAGCGAGATTTTTGAAATTCAAACAATGATCATGTAAACTTTTGGCACAATAAAGCAACAAAAGTTCAGGTTTTTATTTCAATAGTTAGGACAAATGCTGCATAATGCATGAAGACACAAATTTAATATTTCAAGGTTTTACAAAAAAAACACATAAGGATTTGGTAGGAAATAAATGTTTCTTTTAGCTCAGTTTTCACTAGATATGGAGTCAAAAAGCTGATCTTACACTAGGTAGCAGAGTCTAGCTCAAATTGGCAATTCTTAAAAGCTTAAGCAACTTGGCCCTGGTTAAAACTTGGATGGGAAATCACTTGGAATTCCATGGCTGTTCACCAGACTGGAAAATTGAAAAAAGCATCATGGAATAAGGCAATAGCAAATATTTCCATAATGTTGGCAAGAAAATTGAATGGATGCAATCACAAGGAGCCAAGGTCATCTTGAAGAAATCATTATCTTTTTATTCAGGCAGAGTATGATAATATGAAGCATAATATGATAATATAAAGAATAATGCCAGTGCCAACTTGGTTTACATAAATAATAGTATAAACCAAATACACTACCAGTATTTCAGCTTCTAAACTATTCAGTATTTATCAGAATGTTTGCATCTGGTATTCTATTAGCTTACAGGACTGTTAGTCCTCAACCAAATCAGGATGATCTTATGTTATACTAAAAATAGACCTATTTCATCAATGAATAAAAATGGAGAAATGGTATTTATTTAGAAAATTTATTAACTTGCCAACCAAGAAGATAATATACTAGCACACCTGGTACTTCCTGATCAAGCAGGGTTTATTTGTTGTAGATGAGATACTGACACATTTTACAGCTGTAAATAATCCTAAGGTGGATCCAGCTGTCAACATTTCATTGGATATTGTGAAAGCTTTTGATAAAACGTATTGGCAATGCAAGTTTTTAATTTTTTTCAAAGTTTTATTTTCCCTCAGGGTTCTTTTCTCTTTTACTGTTTGATTTAATTTGGAACCATTAGCAACTATAGTTAGATCAAAGGCCACACTGAAATTTATGTTCTAATTCATACCGGTATAAAAAGCAAAGTAACCCCATTTTTAGACAATATGTTGGTATTTATTGATAAAAGCCTGAGGGTTACAAACCAAAAGCAACAAAATTAATTTATGATCTGGGAACCCTTTCTGGGTATATTAATTGGTTTACATCTGAACTGATATCTTAGGGAGCTATTAAGTCTTCAAAATCAACTATCTCTGGACAGTCTTGATGGTGCCCAAAGACAATAATTCATCTTGGACTGAGAATACCTCAAGCTTAACTCAGATGGTTAAGCTGAATATAAATATATTGTGATGAAAAACAGCAATAGATTTAGGCAGCTGAGCTTCATTTAAACTGAGTATGTGGGGAAAACTCATATTTGAAAGATGAATATTTCACCATGGTAATGTTTACCATACTTGCATATTATGCCTCCATATGTTCTTAAGATATACGTACAGAGGTTTCCTATGCTATTTCAGAAGTCTATTTGGCAAAACTATCCTGTTTTCATTCAGAAAATTTCTAGAGTCAGTTAAGGAAGGCATGTTTTCTTTTTCAGGTGAAGGAATTGCAAGATCCATCTATTGCACCAATAGAAGAGAATATTTGTGGCTCAGGGTTGATCTGTGGGGTTCTTGGTACTCTCTGAGCTTGGTTGTTTTGTTGCAGACGTCTCATTACCAAACTGCATAACATTATCAGTGCTAGTAGGGAGTGGAGTTTCTCCTCATTTTGTATTTTAGTGACTTGCCCTGTCACGGCTGGTGGGAGTGGTCTTGTTGGTTCCTTGATTGTGCTGTTGTTTACAGTTGGCTTGCTTGGCAGTTCTTTGATTGGGGTATTGTTTGCTACTTGATTGTTGGTCCAATATTATTCTTGGTGCACTGGAAAATTGGCCACATAGGCCATTTTAGAATGAGCATATTTCGCTCCCCAAAAGATTCAAATTTCCCTGAAAACTATAGAATTTTACCTTCTATTTTTCTTACCCTGCCTGCTTGTTAATTTTTACAATCATGCTCAGTTAAGAAATGGGGAAAGCCAAATTGTATGTGCCTTTGGAGTATGTGTATGCTCTTCATGTCGTATTGATTCTCCAACAAAAAGATAGCTTTTTTGTTGGAGAATCAATACGACATGAAGAGCATACACATACTATCAACCAAATCAGGTGATATTTATTTCTTGTAATAGAACGCAAGAAGCATCTCCTGAAAAAGTGTAGAGAAGCCATATTAAGCATTCCCGGAATTCCCTCTAGTATTACAGGACTTCAATATAAATTAATAAGCCAATAATAACTGCTTAAAACAGTTGTTGGAAAGTATTAATTTGATATTTGAGAGTATACAGAGTCATGGTGTAAAGAACTGAATTGTTTGCTAAGAGAACATTAATGTAGTTTTATAAATTTAAATGTATTATTTCAACAGAAATATTTTGTATCTATTGGAAGAAACTGATAAATACAGATAAATTGCATGTGGTATTTTGAACATAACACTAGCTGATACAACATAGTGTTGTGTTACTTTGATAGCTCCCTTTTAAAAAGAAGATACTTTATGTGCATTGGTTCACTGGAGTAATACGTGAAAGTAAATGTTTGCTAAGCAGCAGATTTTTGCATGTATAATGCTATTTTGTAAATGGTGAATTGGGTTTTTATATATGCATAAAATGGTACTACCAGTATGTAAAATGAATGAATTTTGTCTGGACAAATCTGAGCTCCAATAAGCTGAAGAGATTCTTGTAGATGCCCATTTTAACATAATACAGCAATAGCTTGGAGATTAATAGAACAAGAACAAGATAGTGTATACTTCTATAATTCAATATAATTGAAATGATACTGCAACATATCCCTCTTTTGATATTTAAAGTATTTATTGCAGGGAATCTTGAACAGAATTCAGAGTTGCATATTCTAGTTCTTATATTTAATAGAAAATAATATAAATTGTTAAAAGAATATAAATCGACTTAAATATTGGCAATTTAACTTCACAGTACAGTATGAAAGATTTATGCATTAAGATATTGGGGGAGAGGCTACTGTCTTATATTTTTGCCTCCTGTATGATGCAAAATATATTTTAAAACACAGATAGATAATATCTTGGCTTTTTGTTTTCTTAGTTTACAACACTACGGGCTAGTCATCTTGGCTAGTCATCTTCCCAAACAAGGCAGACTTAAACCTAGATAGTACTTGAATCAGCACCTCCTAGTGAACCCCACAAGGGGAAGTTGAAAAGATATCCAGAAAATAGCAAGCCCTTTCGGTACAGCCTTTTCTAACAGATGTGTTCACAAAGTCATCAGGAGGCAAGATCAGCCCCAAAGAAACTTTTAAGATGCTCAAAATTCAGGTTTATTTACATCCTATTAAGCACGCATAGGACTCCATTACAGAACTGTTCTTTTAGTATAGCACCTTGCGGCACGGTGGTTAGAATGCACTATTGCAGGCTAAGTCTGCCCACAGCCTGCAGTTCTCGGTGGCTCAGCCTTCCATCTTTCCCAGGTCAGTAAAATGAATATTGGGGGCAATGTGGTGACATTGTAAACCGCTCAGAGAGCAGTGTAAAGCACTGTGGAGCTGTACATAAGTCTGGGTGCTATTGCTAAAGCCTAGTTAGAAATCACTTTTATTTGCTGTGTGTGAATCTTAAAAGAACTTAGCCAGCAAATGCCTCCTTTAAAAATAAAAAATAAAAAGTTCAGGAGTACAAAGGAACACGGAGAGCAGTTTTGCGGAACTGCATTTCCTCAGTTTTCTTTGCACGTCACTAACCTCTTCTTCGATCTGAGGTTTTTTAAATAATAACAACAACAACAACAACAACAACAACAACAACAACAACAACAACAACAACAACAA